AAAAAAAAAAAAAAAAAAAAAAAAAAAAAAAAAAAAAAAACCAACGAGCTCATCGTCACTTTAACGGTTCGAAGAAACCACGACGATCAACCAAACAGCGGTAGATCTGCTGGAGCGGAAGGAGAGGCACAAGGAACTGCTCGAGGAGACGGTGGCCGTCGGCATAATGTTCGCCTCCAAGGCCTTCGTACAACTCTTGGCCAACCCGATAGTGGGGCCCCTCACGCACAAGTACGCACATATTATAATATTTTATTATTTTTTCAAACGAGAACCATTACATAATAGACACTTGCGTTATATTTGTACCTATATATATATATATATATATATATTCCTTCCCTTCGATACAACATCTGACATTTTGTATGAAAAAAAAAAAAAAAAAAAAAAATCAAAATGATCCATCGATTAAATATATATTGTTGATCATCACAGAGTCGCTGTCGCACATAATGTACACCCAATAGCACCATCGCAGGGCAAAAAAACTCGTCCGTCCAATTGGCGATCTTATATTTTGCCACCATAATATACGTGATACCAAAGTTGACGTTATACACACAGTAAGGTGTACACCGGATTATATAAGCTGCACACGCTTTCAACGATATATTAACGACTAAACGCATCGCATGGGAACATCTATGTATACAACCATAGACTACACAGACGTGTGTATATACACATACAGGAAGGTAGTTATACATATAGATGGGGGTACAATATAATAGCTGCAGGATAGTCGCGTGCACCTAATTGCCCCTTAACGAACTCTCGAAACTCGTGTCGCTTGTCCTAGCCCCATCCATCCTTATACTATACACGGGTGTACCTACATAGTTTGATTTAAGCAACTCCACCGTCAGAGGCAAGACGAGCTTTCCCCGCCCCTCATTTCACGCATTTCCCTTGCCTTATAAATTAAATTATTGTCAACCAGACGCCCGTGTTTCTCTCTCTCTCTCTTCCCTCTTTGGTCCACGCCCTCTATATTTATATGTACAACACGCAGATAGATAGATAGAGAGGGAGAGTTAGTTTAGTTGCGTCTTCGTTTTCCCCCCCTTATCTCTCTACCTGGTGTATCTCTACACGAGCACACAATGGGGGTGATCACTCGTCAACTTTGCCCCTTGTTCTCCTCGTAATCAATTTTCTCGAGTTTGATAAGATTTTCACGGCTCCCTATCTCCCTCTCTCCCTCTCTCTGTAACCGCTCGAACGCTGTGCTGATCGAATCACACATCATCTATACGTATATAATATCACTTCATACGGGTATACACGGTATAGGTATAAATAGGGGCTCATACCTTCCAATCATTGATGAAAAATTCTCACGGACAAGGGTACATTTTTTAATTAAATTTTTTTGTTTTTTTCTCTTTATCCCCCCCCCTCACTCTCACTCGTTTTACCATATTTATATCACACGCACACATTTACACCTTTTGACAATTAATATACGATACGTGAGCGATGGATGGAAGGAGAGAGAGAGAGAGAGGGGGTGGAGGTTGAAGAGTGCGTATGTGTGCCTCGGTACATATACGCTGGCGATTTTGCGATTGACGGGGGGGACTCTACGTGTACACCGAACCCAAGTGGCTTTGATAAAGTGACCTCCTCCTATGTGGTTTCGTCGATTCATCGGCCCTCGTTAGCGCGGCTTTATAAACGTCACTGGTCATCACGGGCCTCGTGCTCTTGACAATCGTTGGATCTCGCCGCGGTGTAATTATACACACACACACCCACCCATCCAAGGTAAAAATACAACATAACGGCTAAGGGAAAAACCTTGTAAACCTCTCCCTTTTTTTTTTTTTTTTTCCTCCTCGAGAGAGATTTGTTTTTTGTTGTTGATTCATTTTTCTTTGCGGAGCTTTCAAAGCACGAGTAAGCTTTCCCCCCCACCCCTTTGAATCGGATCACCTTTTCCGTAAAACCGAAACGTTTGCTCGGAACATTCAATAATAGTCATACAGGGGGGTTTGCACATATTGCAAACAAAAAACAGGGATGGATTTATTTTTTCGTCATGCCATCTGTACTCGAGGACGGTCCATGTGATTGCCATCAGTGCGCAACTGTATATATAACGTAGACGCGTATAGGAGGTATTGGGGGAGGGGGGGAGGGTAAAGCTGTGCGGCAAACAAGCTCCCACCATCGGTCGTTCTTTCGGTAATTACTCGAGCCGAGTACAGAAGAGGAAAAGGAGGAAGGAGAAAGTCAACGCATCAGGGGGAGATAAAAAGGAAAAGAAGGGAGTAGATTGAACGGGGGCGAGCCGTTGCTAAAAGCCAGGAGCGCAGGCATCGGGGGCTCTATAAGTGGCGCTGGAGAATGGAACCTTTCAGGCTGCCGGGAGAGGAGCGTAATGCCTTGGCCCACGCTCAATTGAGAAAGAGACAGATCGTTCGGAACAAGTGGAAGAGAGAGAGAGAGAGAGTGACGAGCTGTCGGTGGGGGGAGGGAAAGGATCCTCTTAGGAAATGCTGATTGACTTCCTCCTCTTTTCACCACATTTTTTCTATCTACGGGTGCAGTTTCCTATTTTTTTTTTTTTTTTTTTTTTTTTTTTTTTTTTTTTTTTTTTTTTTTTTTTTTTTTTNTGCCCCTATACGTATATATAAGAAAAGCTTTATTACATTTTTTTGTAATACGTTGAATTACTTTTCATTTCTTTTTCTTTTTTTTTTTTTTTTTTCATTTTCACTTTCATTTTCTTTTTTTATGCAGCGAAATAGCACGGCAATTCCTCGAGCGTATCACATAATATTTAATGATCGAAAGAATCATCGTGGTGGAACTCATTTGGAAAAAAGAAAAAAATTAATTCAACAACCACGCGGCGGTATGTATATACGTATTAATTCTGGGAAACGAATCCCAGATATACATATAGATACGAGATGGGCTCGATATAAGCTCCGAAGGCTTGCGCGGTGGAGGACTTTTAGCGAGAGGTATAATAATAATCGGATTATTTCGTGCCACTGTCATTCGTTCGGTAGGCCCTTTTTATTATCTACCTTCCTCATTCCTTAGCTCAACGATCGCCCGGAGACGTGGGAGGGATGGAAACAGAAAATACAAGAGCAAACGGAAACGTACTATTGAGGGATGAAAAAAAAAAAAAAAAAAAAAATAGAGAAGATAAAACCGTGCTTCCAAGAAGAGAGAGAGAGAGAGGGATTTGCTCCTGTGCGATCCACAGACATGGGAGTAGTTAAACTTGTGGCGATTGCAGGGGGCTAGTGTACGCGCGACTTGGGGCCTCGCAAGGTGTCATTCAAATTCCACGGTTTTCGAATGGAAAGTAATACTTAACCGAGACGGAGCAATCGTATACATAAATGAACTCTTTCTCCCCCTCCCCTTCTTCGAGAGCCATCATTTTTCCAGGGCAAAATAATAATACAGTGGAAACGACGAGTCGTCTCGATTTCTCGCCTCGAGAAGTGCTCCGCAGAGGAAGAAAGAAAAAGAGGGGGAGAGGCCGGGTTTAATAAAGCGCGCAGAGGCACGCAGGCACGTCGGCGTCACCTCATATCGGGGATATTCCTATCTAGGGGCTGCCGAGGAATGCGCCACGTGCCGGGGATGCCGCGCGCGTTACTCACACACCCACGGCTGGGCCTCTCTATGTTCTCGTCCTTATTTCCCGTCTCGCGAGTAGGAGGAGTGCCGTTTAGCGGGCGATTTCATTGATGGAAAAGATTATCGCGGCCTTCGTTTCAAACGCTCGAGGCCGCCCACGCCTCTCTCTCCCCCTTCGCCGTGCCTGCATCGCTTTTTTTTCCACCCCCTTAATGCACTCTGATTACATGATATGCCCTTTGCACCGGTCAAATGTACATGTATATAAGTTCTCATTCTGTCTCTTTTGTTTCAATCGCTCGTTTTGAAAAAATAAAGACCAAAAGCGCAGCGGATCTTGGCTCTTGATTAAAATCTCGTGGCCTTGCTAAGTCTTTTGAGGATATAATACGTTAGATCGTTACAGATTGTCGCCCCAACAGGGCAAGGAAGAAGGAGAAACGAATGCGATGCGACCTGATTACCGATCAACCCCCTCCCTGCCCCCGTCACCAAGATCTATAATTTCTCAAAACCGGTATTTTTTCTCTACAAAATGAACTCGCGCATACAGCCACCGAAATGGCATAACGCGATCGGTCCAATGTGTATATACCGATTTGTGCTGTATATCGTCGGGTGAAACATAAATATATGTGTATGTAAATGAGTATGAGGCGCGGGGCGTTTGATCCGATCGTGTTTGGCGTATCGCAGGAGGACTGGTCGGTCCAATGGCCGCGTACCTCACGCGCCGTGTAATATCCGGTTGGTCGGCCGGCGATCCTCGGAGCATGCGCCCCTCGTGGGTATGCACAATACCCTTGAGCTGTGCGTGGTATACACGTACAGACACGGAGGGGCTTCTTGTATACGGTGTACATGCCTACGCGTGTAGGTTTACGGGTGGTGATGTATATAGGTCGCGCGGGAGCGAGAGGCGGCGCGAAAGAGTCCGGCTCGGGGCGATCGGGCTCGGAGACGAGGAGCGGCAACGCGACGGACAGCAGCTGCGGGACTGAACGAGCGGTGGTCGCAGTAACAGCAGCAGCTACGGCAAAGGCCAGCATGCAGATGTCAGTGGCGGTGGTGCCGATCCCGGTGACCGAGGACGATCTACCCGAGGACGAGGAGGGCGGAACGAGCGGGCGCTCCCACTAGCTGGTGCTCGTTACGGAGGGCGGGCACGGCTGCTGCTGCTGTTACTGCCGTCGCCTGCGGCCGTCCTTCTACAACACCGAAACCAAGTTGACCGTGAGTTTTTTTTTTCTTTTCTTTTCTTTTTTTGTTTCTCTTTCCATTTCAGGACAACCGATTTTTTTGGACATCCCTCCGCGAATCGTGCACTATTTTTACGTGGTTTTCCTCTGTGCGTGTGTGTGTGCGTGTGGCATGCGTTAACGTAATTACGAAGAATCATGTGGATTGCAAGACAAAAAATCAATCAAATCAGCGACCCAATTTTCTTTTTTTTTTTTTTTTTTTCCCAATCGATTAAAAAAAAATTGACAGTTTCGACAACAACCTACGACTCGTGGACGCAATTTGCAATCCAAATCGGATGAGGTAGGAGGGGGGGGTGGAAAGCCATTGGTATTACAATTACCGTGGCAACCTTTTTCAAAAACTCTTTGATCGACCCCTGCCTGTCTTTGGTCATGTGCGAAACGAGTCCCCTCGAGCTGCATAATTTCACGGATACATGTATATTATGTACATCAGCGCAAAAGCTCGCCACTCGGTGCCCCTATACGTATATATAAGAAAAGCTTTATTACATTTTTTTGTAATACGTTGAATTACTTTTCATTTCTTTTTCTTTTTTTTTTTTTTTTTTTTCGAACGAGCCAAAACGTGC